CTGGATGACAGATGTGGTTCTGTTGAAGCAGTGCTCCTGTAGAAGGTGCAGTTTTCCTCCGAAGATCCAGCGATGATGTGGAAAAGGTCCGACTTTCCTCTGGGATCCAGTAGAAAGGTCAGCCCTCGGGTCCCAAACCCCAGTTTTTTTATCTAGGTAGGAAAGGCTTGGCTCCTGCCCCTGGTTGGGGCATCTCCCAATGGGGTGATGTAATCTTATCAGTCACACAATAGGACTTAATGGCCCATTAACGGAATATATCTTCTGGAGGAAGGATGGGTTGTGAATAGATAACGATGATCATCCCCCCATCTTATCAGATGGCACATGAGCAGAGGATATCTCCCACAGAGATAGGGATCACCACCCCTCCCACATTTTAACAGATGGTGATAGAATACACATTTTTGCATTGTACCCCAGGACACTGAGTAATCAAAGTTTGTATTTAGTAAGTCACATTTCTTTTTGCAGAAAGACAGGAAGTAATACATGTAACAGAAGAAAGAACACTTTATAGGGGGAGAAAAAACCAAAAGACTGAATCCAGTGAGGCACACTGCAAGAAGTTATTTCAGCAATAAATGATTTACAGTGCATATCTTGTAATAACAGGCCCTAGCATGTCCTGCATGTCTGTTTTTCATTTGTCCCATGTTATGAGAAGGATGTGAATGGTGTCTGACTTTTGATAAAACTTTGTGAAAGATTCAATAACAAGAAACCCTTTATAATTGCAAGATGTGGAAATTTTTATGGTTTTACACTGAAAGAACTATACCAAGAGTATAAATGTATTCTTCGAGGTCATACAGTGATTTTTAGTAGTTAATCTAGCATTTATCTTCATTATTTCTCTGCTCTGTGTTTTAGACAATTTTCTCAGTATTTATCTGGATTGGGTTTGGTTACTTTATATGCAGAACCTGCTTGAAATATACAAAGAAAATTGATAAAATATTATAAAATCTCATTGAATTCTATTCTGAAGGCCATTCTAGTAGGTATTGAACAGATGAATTCTCTTGGTAACTGCTGTTTTCAGTTACTTTGCTTTTTTTTTTTTAATATATGGATCAGCAGCAAAGGATATGCCATCTTCTTGTTAGTCTCCTTGCTTAGATTCAATAATAATCTTTAATTATAAGTTGCCTTGAACTGGCATCACTTTTTTGTCATTCTGTTTGAGAGGCAAGAAGACATGCCAGCTGTGATCTGAAGAAGTAATATTTTTAAACGAAAGTATTTTATTTTTTCCAGTGTTATAACTGATGCTGAGAATTACTGATGAGCTTACACTTGTAAACAGCGGTGAACATAAACAGAAGTTATCAAAAGCTTTATAACCATAGAAATGTCCTAAAAATACTGTCAAAAAGTTATAAATATCCATTTAGAGGTGATGGTACCTACACTCACTGTGAATCTCAAATTATTTTCTATTTTCTATCAGTCTTTTTAATAATGTCTTTTAATAATGTCTGGGGATTTTTCCCAGATAAGGATACAAATAGTTTTGAAGCCATATGGCAGCTTGGATAACTGGCATTAAAATTCTTGGGAAAGAAGAGCTGAACACATACATGCCGGGCTTTGGTCCTTTGCTTATGGAGCTGTCCAGTCATTCCTGTCACCAGCTAGCAGTGCTGTTTCCCGTGAGTTTTTCGTGTTTGTGGCACTAGCTTCTGATGCTGCTGTTGATTTCAAATGTCTGAAAGATTTATTGGTTTTAATACTGTTCTTCACACTCAGCACAGAGTGGGAGTCTGTAGTTTCAGAACCTGAAGTACGAGGCTGGACCTTGCTGACTTGAAGAATTTCTGCTCTGATTTTCCTTTGTACTGGTTTACAGTGAGGGTAATTACTGTGCAGTGAACTGCTGACTCCTTCCCTTTTGCATGGTTACTTTTCCAAGTTGATTGCTCTTGGTTACCAGAACACACACCCATGTTTCAAACGAAAGTAAATGAACTTTAAAAGTTGTGTTCTGAGAAAAGCTTTTGTATTACTTCAGATTTTAAACTCCATAAGTGCATGCAGATATCTTCCTCCTTCCTCTTCTTTAGGGCACACACTGCTGTGTCAAGTGATTTATTTGTTGTGGGCTTGTTTGACTTTTTGGTGGATATTTTTGTGGGTTTTTTTGTTTGTTTGTTTGTTTTGTTGGTTTTTCTGTTTATATATGACTAGGTAATATGATTAATTTCCAACCATGCAGTACATCCATTTTATTTGTACATTTTCTTGCCTAATTTCAGTTTCTTTTAATAGAAATTGAATCTTTCTGGAAGGTTCTAGGAGAGATTTCCAAAGTGCAGGATAAAACTTGGGGATTAAGAGCAAGAGCAGATACTTAGGTTTCCTGTCTAAAGTCACAGGGTAGCTGAAAGTTATAATGCAAAATGCCTGTGTGCTGTGCCTCCAGTAATCATGATTCCTGGTGGTACATAATTTCAACTTAAGAAATTGTCATTAATATCTTTTTCTCAGCAGCTGAAGCATGATCAAATTTACTATTTCACTGCTTGATATGTTATTAAAATAGGAAAGAACTGCTGCTGCTTTTCTAAAACTGGTAATTGACTCCATAAATACATATTGAATTCAGTTAAATATAATGGGAAGCATTGTTGCGTTGTGTGAACTTTTTGCAGTGAAAACTTTTAGTCTATGCTTTGCTTCAGTGTTTAAATCCTTTATTTAACTGTTTTACCTGTATTGTTTGATTCACAGAATTGTTAGGGTTGGAAGGGATTTCCAGAGATCATTTAGTCCAACCTCAGACCATCTAGTCCAACCTCAAATGCTTAAAAATGCAGTGGATGAAGTATTACCTTCAAAAGTTATGGTACAAAAAACTGGCAATGAAGAATCCAAAGTGCACCGTGACTATGAGAATATGAGACCATAAGGAACATTAGAAATAGTCTCTCCATAATAAAAGTCTGATGATGGCAAATAAAATCCTCTTTTGTAGAACTGTGGGTATTTTCTTTATTCCTAGTTTATTAGCATAGGAAGCAGTAGGTTGATTGGTGACTAAGCAGGGAAGGAGAGGTAGGAGCATCACACCCCAGTGACTTAAATCCAGGGTTAAGGCAAGAATCTTTTGGTCTGGATAGACACAAAGGAGAAATACCAACCAGAGTTTTTATCTCAAGAGGTAAAAAAATCACATGAAAGTTTACTAGCAAAGTGTAGAAGATGAGAAACTTTGTCAAATCATATAGTGCAACATGAAACACCACAGCACAGATATAGTCCACTGAACAGAGAAAACCTTTAAACCCATTTGACATTATCTTCTGTGAAAGGAAAGTTAGAAGAAGGAAGGGAGAAAAATAGGAAAGTTGCATAAAAACAGACATAGCTACAAACTCCAGGGTTTCCAGTCATGTAAAGCTCCAAAATGAAGGTAGGGTTAAAGAATAATATGCTTGCCTCATGGTCAGCCTTCTTAAAGATCCTTGCCCCCAGGTGAGACTTTGGGTTGCTCGGCCATTTAGGGGCTGGGTTAGACAACACTGCCTCCATTGTGCCATGACTGATACACACTGTGGGGCTGGGGCAGGGCACCGCCTCACCAGAGCAAGGCCTGACCCACCCCCTACCACACATTCCAAGCCCCTAAGATGTCTCAAAACAGGTTCAGAACATTATTTGAACTGCTCCTTCCCAGTCCCTTAACAGAAACAGGTAATCATATATTTTGCATAAGGCTAGTAATTTCTTTTGTGATACTTACACACAGCTCCCTCTCTTATATTAAAACAAATTAGTGGAGATTCGTCTTAATGGGATTTTGGGGAGTGTCTAATTGCCAAAGATGGAATAAAGTATTTCCTTATTTGTTGAGTTGTTGCTACTTGGCCTGTGATGTTCTAAGCCTCAAAATGGCAGCAAGTAGTAGCTTCAAAAGTTTGAAACTCTTGGAAGCATGTTTTAAGTTAGTTTTATCTGTGAAGTATTACTGAGCTTTTGAATGTAGTTTATGGTCACTTATAATCAATTTCAGAATTGTTTCTGCATAGCACTTAGATGCTAACTTTCCTTCCCTTAAGTCTTGTTGCCTTTAAACTTGACATAGTTATGCTGAATTTTTTTGGTGAAGTATATTGACTACAGCTTAGAGCAAAGGTGAGTCTGACAATGAAGAAAGCATGGATTTGGAAACAAATGTGACCAAATGTGTGTTTTGTGAAGTAACTGTGTCACTGAAATGGTTCAGATGACACTGAAAATAGAAATGAATATTTTTCTTTCTGGTGTTCTGGCATCTACTGGTGTATACTTGCTGTGATGGTGACCATATCTTTTCATGGTAGAGGTGCTAATAGCTTGCAGTGATTACTTGTGTCTGTAAAGGCACCAAATAATGTGGAAAGTAAGGGAAGGGTAAAATAGTCTGTTCCCAAGAGAAATAGAAAAAACCAAATAAATACTGCTTATTCTTAAGATGCTTGTAAGAATCTAATGCCATATTCATTAAATGCAGTATACTCTGTTAGAAATACGTTAGAATTCTATTAGAGTGTGTGTTTGATTAATTGTGAATAAGATGATAGGTGAATTTTTGGGAGGAGTGAATGAGGACTGCTGATGACCTAATCAGGTGTGGAACAACTAGGATGTCATTCTTTGAATTTAAAGCAAGCTGCACACTGGAAGATGGAAACATTGCAATACACTCAGATCAGATCTGGTCCATGATCATATCTGAATGAGGTGGTGCCTTTTAGGCATATTTTTTTTAAACTTTGTTTAACAAGAATATTGTCAGTAGACAAATTACACAGTAAAGATGGAGGAAGGTGCTCTGTAGCTGCTAATGGATGTAGATGCTCTAAGAGGTGAGGTACTACTAGGAATCAAATGCACCAAAAGGCTGAAAAAATGATCCAGAGGGATGCTCCACTTTTGTGTATGATAGTAATCAAGTATGGTTTTAGCTATTCAGAGTTATCAGTATATTTGTGGTATCTTTTTTAAAAAACCTACCCAAGATAATTTTGAAAGACAGATGTTAGTGATAGTTCTGTTATGTGACACCATGCAGAGCTAAGACCAAGCTGAATAGGGAAGTACTGGTTATGACTTCTGGGTGATACAAAATTCCATTTCTGTGGTCTTCTCTCAGCACTTTGTGTTGCATTTCCTGATCAAGCTCTGTTTTGTTTTTAGGATCAAAGCTTTGTGTTTAAAATGGAAGTTGATGTGAATGGAGAGTCCAGAACTGCCCTCTCTGCCCTGAATGTGCCTCTTGGAGAGATGAGTTCGGCAGCCAGGATGGAAGCAGAAAAGCCACGCTGTTCCAGCACCCCGTGCTCACCACTGCGGCGGACAGTTGCAGGATATCAGATCCTTCACATGGATTCTAACTACCTGGTTGGCTTCACAACTGGAGAGGAGCTGCTAAAATTAGCCCATAAGTGTACGGGAAGTGAAGAGAACAAAGGAGAATCTGGTCCTAACTTGGGCTCCAAACATCTTGATTCAGGACTGCCACGTTCTTCGCGTTTGTACAAAACTAGAAGTACGTACTACCAGCCATATGAGATCCCAGCAGTAAATGGAAGGAGGAGGAGACGGATGCCCAGCTCAGGGGATAAATACAATAAAACTTTACCATATGAACCTTATAAGGCACTTCGTGGTGCCCTGCCTCTCTGCCTTTTGAAGGGTAAAAGGGCTCATTCAAAATCCCTGGACTACCTCAATTTAGACAAAATGAGCATTAAGGAACCTGCTGACACAGAAGTGCTACAATACCAACTCCAACACCTTACACTTAGAGGGGATCTTATGTTAGCAAGGAATAGCACATGAACTGTCATCTCAAATTTAGAAATGGTTTCTGATATTTTCTCTGTTGCTGCAAAAATCCACTGTTTTGCTGTATACATGACTGTTCACTTTGTAGGTGATCTTATCAGCTCAGTGTTACCAGAAAGTGATTTATTTGAATACAGTCTTGGGAGTGCAATGTTCTACAAATACTTGGAGAGAGAAGCCTTTCCTGATGAAGCAGCTTCTGATGCAGATTTGACTGCAACTAGTAGATATTTCTTCAGACACATTTTAACAAAAAAAAAAGGCGCTTTTGATTTTGGGATTTTTTTTTTTCTGTACTACTACATCTACTATTTACAGTAGTTCAACACTGAAAAATTGATGATGTCTGCTTGGTTCTTGCTAATTTTGGCTTGTTGTTAGAAACTGCTCTTGGATAAGTACTCAAGGAGTCTTTTTGGGTTTACTTTTCTTTCTGTAGTAAAATGCATGGGTTTTTCTTACAACATGGACAGGAAAGTGAGCTTGACTGGATTAATCACTTGCTATTTAAACAATTAATACATTTTGAGAATGAGCTTGTACTGGTGATGTGGGTGAGTTTCGTTTGTAAAAGAAAACTTTGCTACTTGACTTCTATTAAATTATTTTTTTTAGTTTCTGCAGGGAAATAATTGCTTTGTCCTTTTTATTCTATAAAACATGTTCAGAATAAATATTTCAGTTATTTAAACCAAGTCTTCCAGGAAGTGAAGGTTTTTTGGTTGTTTAGGTTTTGGAGTTTTTTAGTAGATTTTGTTTTTATATTGTCTTGAGACAAAAACTGGAATGTCTGTACTGGTATGTTGGTAATGTATTTGATTTTAATTTGTGGTGTTCATTTCATCTATAGTAGCAGAAAGTGTCAACTTCAGCATAGCTTTGGAAATTCTGTTAACATGAAGCACTGAACAGGAGCTCTGGAGGGCAGATTTTTTCTTGACAAGAGTGCAGTGAAGTATTTCTTGTCAGCGTTGAAGAGATGATCTTGAATTTTTCAGCAGAATAATGCATTGGGTTACTTCTGTTACTTAATAAATTTTTATCCAAACATGACATTAAATGCAGTTTTGACAGCTGTATTCCTACATGTGTTTAAAACTTTTGGTAACTTTAGTTTAAAAAAGAAAATGGTTTTCATACTGTCTTTTTTTTTTAGGTGCAATCTTTTACTGAAATAGTACATAACTTGATTTTGCCTGATGACTTCTGCAGAAGTTAAAAATAATTTCATACTGCTTTGAAACATAAGTTATTTGATCAGTTGTTTCTGATAGAGTTAAGAGTTTCTGATAGAGTTTGTTTATCATTCAGAATTACTAGAAAGCACTAGTTAGTGCATGTGATCTGGAAAATGAGTTCTTACTCTGTCACTCCACAGTTTAAATGAAGGCAGCCCACTAGTGAGCATTTTGTGCTTCGGTTATTTTTTTTAGATTTATTAGAAAATATAAAAAAATAAAAAGTATATTTTTCAAAGTTAACTACACCGGTGTAAATTTAATGTCTTGAAAGTAAAGTCTTCCTATATAGTCTTTAGTTTGAAAAACAGAATATGATCAGATGCCAAAGAGGTAAGGGATTTGTTTATGGAATAAGTACCACTGTTAATTGAAATATCAAATTAAATTGTATTTCTGGCTGAGAAATAAAAATGGTATTATAAAGAGCTGTTGTTGTGGTTTAATTTGCTGTGTAGGAGAAAAAGAGGATGTTTTTAAAAGTATAACTTTAGACAAGGGAACATTTAAAACCAACTTGAAACTTGGGGTCCTGGATTTCTGTGCAATAAATGCTTAGTTCTCTTCTTTTATTTTGGGAAAAGGACAATGCATTTACCTTATGTTTTTGATGTCCAGTGCTGTAATTGTATGGCTACACCAAGAGACTGGTTGATGACTATCTAGCTGAGTTTAGACATAAAATACGTGTTAGTATTTTATCTTTGATGATTTGTTTGTCAATGTGCTCAGATATAGTCATGGTGGTTGTTTAACTCACACACACTTGCAGCCCTCATAAAGTGGGAAATACTATTTACACTACCAGTAAAACAGACTAAGCAAAGAATTGTTGATAGATAACTTAGGTTGTTTTCTACGTTTCGCTGGTACCAAAGAATCAGAAACAAATTTTCCAACTTTAAAAGTTCTATAGTGTGGTCTGGTTGAAGCCAGTTATTAAGTTTCAGCGTTAAGACATTATGTGCTAAAAGGAAACAATTGGAAGAGATCATCCTTATTGATAATATAGACAGCAAAAACTAGAAATAATGCTTTGAATAAGACTAATTTTATAGTGAAGCTACAGTATAGAAGTATAAATAAGTTGTTAAGCTGTTTTAGGAAAAATAGATTAAAACTGAAAAATATTGATTTATTACAATGCTAATAGCTTTAAAGACCATGTCAAGCTTGGCAACCCACAGTAGAATGCACATATCTTTGCATGTTGTTGGAGCTGGCGAGTGAAGATTTATTGATGATTCTGAGGATGACTTTTTGCATGAATGGTTTGGCATAATCACTTAGTTGGGACATCAGTTTTCATGATGGGTGATTACCGTGTACACTGTAAGAGTCACACAAACACATGCCAGATAGGTCCTTTGAAGAACACAATAATGTTTGAACTATTGTTTTTTTTCCTGTGTCTCACCATATATTTTTTTAGCTAGAAGGTAAGGCCAGCTTTCCAAGTCTTGAACACCTTCTGACAGATTAGATGGGCTTTTCCCCAAGTGATTTTGCCAGGGTAATTTTTTTTCCTCTTTATTCTATTACGAAAACACTCAGAGAAGATCAAACTGCTTTCAGGTCTACAGGATGTGGAAAGCTTCCTTCACTTCTTGAAAGGAGTAAGGGAACATTAATATTACTCTAATATTTCAATACCCAGTCTGTCTTACACCCTTCTTAACTTACTCTTAGGTAGTTTGGTGGTAGAGAATGACATTGATGCAAAGTTAGAGGCCACATTAGAAGAACCAGGGAAAGAAGGCTATCACTTTTGTGGAAAAAGCCCAGAATCAGTTGGCTGTTGTTGAAAGCAAAAGAGAAGGTAAGGAAATTAACTGACCACATTCCATCCAGTTTTAGGAGACAAGTTCTCTCACCTTGCCTATGCCTGGTATCACCTGTCAACGAATTGGCCTGGAGTAAAAAGAGGGGGAGCCTCTTTAAGAGGAGGAGAACCTTGCACAGTGCTTTAATTTCTGTGGAAAGTGAAAGGACAGGAAGAATTCACCATAATATATTGGGGAAAGGTTGGAGAAATAAATGGGAAACCTCAGAGAATCAGCACAATAAGAATAGCAGGAGTATGGTTCCAGTGTGAATAAAAAAAACAAAGGCATGGACGAAGATGGTGTGCTGGCCTCTCTAGGAAGCAATGGAGTGTTTCTGCCTGGTTAAGGAGGCTGATGTGATATCTTAGCAAAATCCTGTGATCAGTCTGGGCTGCAGTGAAGGGGGGAAACAGGAGCTTGAGGCTATGTTTGTAACACTTTCATACTCATAAGCTTAGATGAAATTCAGATGAGAGTGCTGAAGGAATAAAATAATTTTGTTCCAATTGAGTATGGCCTGAATTCAAATTCTCTGGTGGATTATGATAATGAGCTATACGCAGAGTGAATAGGTAGATGATGCAATTTTGTAGTCTGAGAAGTTGTTTGAAAAAGCAAAACTTTGGTCTGTTAAGTTACTTTATTTTTCATTTCAGTTTTAAAAAAATTAAGAAACTTTCAAGCTTCGGTATGCATTATGGTGTAAATACCAACTATGATATCTGGTAGGATTATTGTTGCATTCCATTTTGGCATTCTGCTAGACTGTCCCCTGAGTTGTTATTTCTGTGATGAGACAGAAATGCTAAAATACACAAGAACATTGAGAGCTGTACTGACAGCCTGAACCCTATGAGAAAATGAGGAAGCCACAATTCATTGTAGTGATTTACATTAGCTGATTTTTCAGAAAGTAAAAAAAAAAGCATGAGGTACTGGGATGCCTTTAGAAGTCTATTTCAGACCAGGAATGTTGCTGCATGGTGTGAACTAAAGTCTGCAAATGGATAAAAGCAGAAGGGGAGAGAGAATATCATTGTGCGCTGGAATATCAAGTGGTGGAACACCAAACTTTTAAGCTAAGTGGATGAGAGCGGGAAAAATAATGTATTAAATGCAAATTAATTTGTTTCTGCCTTATCTCAGTGATTTTAAGTTTTAATGTTAATTGTGGTGAACATCTTCCAATTTTTATGAAGAAAAATTGGAGGATCTCCAGAATAGCTACAGCTTCAAGCAACTGAGTGTATGCAAGATTTTTACCTATCCATCTATAATAATGTTTTCATAGAATTTGGATACTTTTTTAAATGAGCCTTTCAATATTTATCTGTTTCTGGGGTTTTTTTGTTTCAGTCTTCATAAAGAGATAGTTGGAAAAAAATTGAATAAATACTGATGGGGGTCTCAGTAAAAATGGTAGATAAACCTTCATGTGGCCTTCCTATTGATTCAATAATAATTTCGAAGTAGAACTGCAAGCCTAGGGGGAAAAAGGATCATTCACCACTCCTAGGAGCAGGGATGGGATACAAAGATCTGTAAATACTGCTCCAATCTGTACATTTTGTGAGATACAGTCATACAGCCATTTGGGAACTAAATGGAAGGGGGAGTGGATTAAAATCTTAATTCATGAGACATACTAAGCCAAAATAAATAGCAAAACTGTCCATTTTCATCTTTTTGGCAGCATAGAACACCACAACTTTTGTGTTCTACAATTTCTTTTTTTTTTCCTTAGGAAGATGTATGTTAACAAAAAAAGCACCTTTTTGAATCACTACAGTCAACACATCAGATGTTGGCTTTCATCTATAGTTAGTCCAAATTTAGACTAGCACAGAATAGCCTAGGAAACAATTTTACAAAAGCAATGTTCATTAAATATGGCTGGTTCTCAACAATATGGAAATGTGATCCTGGAAGTAATTATTACATGAGAATTGGTCAGAACTTTGTCTTCAACTATGCTGTGACAGTAGTTTTCACATAATAGGAACAGGGAGTTTTTGAACATGGGGGATACAGAAGCCTGCATCTACCCATTTAATATTGCAGACTGCACTACTGTGCAGCAAACACTTGGCTACATCCTGCTTTTCTACATAAACACAAACACAGTAACTCAAAGAAAATTTTTTTAAGTAAAGCAGACCATGTGCAGCACTGTTCAGTCTATGGCTGCAGCTAGGGTCTTGAAAAAGATTGGAAACTTTTAACACAGGTCAATGCTTTGTTCAGGGAAGTTGTGTTGGTTTGAAAGTAAAACCAGTGCGAGACTCCAAGTCAGTAATACAATTTAATAGGAGAAAAGA